ATATTTTATAGTATCTTTACAATAAAATATCACTTTATTAAGATTTTTTCTTTCTCTAATTCAAAGCTCTCCCATAGTCAACATGGATATGATACTATATATATGGTACTATACAATCTTTATAAAGAATATTTTTATATATATTTTATAGTATCTTTACAATCTTTATAAAGAATATTTTTATATATATTTTATAGTATCTTTATAATCTTTATAAAAAATATTTTTATATATATTTTATAGTATCTTTACAATAAATATTCTTTATAATATCTTTATAAAGAATATTTTATATATTTTATAGTATCTTTACAATAAAATATCACTTTATTAAGATTCTTTCTTTCTGTAATTCAAAGCTCTCCCATGGACAACATGGATATGGTACTATACTATACAATCTTTATAAAAAATATTTTTATATATATTTTATAGTATCTTTATAATATTTATAAAGAATATTTTTATATATATTTTGTAGTATCTTTACAATAAAATATCACTTTATTAAAATTCTTTCTTTCTGTAATTCAAAGCTCTCCTATGGACAACATGGATATGATACTATACTATACCTCCATGCACGTGATATCCTCCGTATGGCCGACGTAGTGCCGTTGTGCATTTTCCTCTCGGTCGAAGAGAACAGCCACGGCAGCGACGTAGTACAACAGTTCACCGCTAGGCAATACCCAGAGGTTTCGCCGGGTATCGGTGCCCCGATAACCGTAAACCCACTCGAGTTGCAGCTTCTTATCGGGGGGAGAATTGTCTACGGGCGGCAGGTGGGAGGGGGGGTAGAACGACCTTCTCAACCCTCGGATGGTCACCCTTGCTGGCTCGTCCCTCAACACCTCCACCACGCTGTAATCTGTTATTATATAACAACACGTTGCAAAGTACAATTAACAATTTACAACGATTATAATTAAATAATAAATATAATTAATAATCAAGATAATTAAGAATGAAGAATAAGATAAATAAGAAGATATATATGTATATATATATATATATATATATGTATGGAGAACCGTTTACTCGGACGACGTCTGAGTCAGGGGCGTACAAAGCGCGGGGCCTGCTTTTGCTACGGGCGCGCCTTTGGCGACCGATGTCCTCGACCACTGTAGACGGTCCTCGCGATCTCGACCTCCTCGCCGGGGACGCTGACACGCCGCCCACCATGCTCATCCCCGACCCGGTACCCAGGTAAAATGTGTCCACGTCAGCGAATTCGTTCCTCAACTGGGAGAAACTTCTTACCTGTCGATATTGTTTTATTAATTATTATCAGTTATATTGATATTCGATTTATGAATGAATATATTTTTCAGGTGTTTGGAGGGGTATATTCATCCGTGACGTGTGTGTGTATATATATATATGTATACGAGGTGGTAAATATAAGGAGAGGGTAAATGCTCGGGGTAAGGAAGAAAATTGGTCGATTTGAAATTCATATTCGTAATTCCCTCGCGACCCAGTTTACACGACCCAATATTTACAATCGTCCATATCCATAAAAGAATAATAACAGGGATAATTTTCTTCGTATCGAAAATACGAATTTTGTTTCCGTTTCTTTTTTTTTTTTTTTTTTTTTTTATCTAGGAATATCATCCCTAGAAGAATTAATGATCCAACGGCGGTGATGGTGAAAATTTCGAATAATTATCGTCACTTCTCCCTTCCTCCCACTATCGCATGCATATTTATGGACAAACATTATTCAAGCGGATTTTATATAAGCCGAGCCAATGTCTTCGATTTGCATAAATCGCTGATAAACTTTTCGACTCGCCCACGTTTCACGTGGTTATTCACGAAACCGTGGGCCAATCGATCGATCTCACCGTACGTCACCACGTCCACCAATTTTCAAAATTATCAATATTCATATATTTGGTATTTCACGTATATCATAGAAAAAAAATTATTATTCATAGCCTCACCTCTTGACCTGAAACCGTGAACATCCTCTTGGCCCCGTTCATCTTCAACACTTGTCCAAGGTCTTCCAACACCTCCTCGAATGGTTGCGAGGTGCGAAGGTTCAACAAAACTCGACACTGAGGTTTCGATTAAATTTATATATGAGAATATTATACAATCATATATATATATTTCTTTTTAGCCGTAAATATCCTTTTTACCTGCACGGTATGGTCGTGGTTGTTAACGATTCGTATGACGCGTCCCGAGGAAGGTTTTCCACCCCCAGGAGGTGGTGCCTCGTCGGT